TCAAGCTAGGAGTGATATCAGGAGTATAATCTTCATTCATTTGTAGCTTATTCTCGTGATAGAGATCAATTGAAAAGGTCAATCACTTAAAGGCAAACATCCTAACCTTTGTTAATCAGATATGAAGAAAAGTTGAGAAAGAAGTGTCAAAATGTCAGGAGTTATGAGAGAAGTATTCTGATATTGTAACATTTAACTCAAAATATTCTACTCAGTGTCTGTCTGTATGAATGAAAATAATATCTTCTGCTACATAACATTTATAAATATCAGGTACTTGTAACATTTACTGACCCCTGTCATTCATACAAAAACTACAGACATTGCTGTGGGCCAAATTCAAGTATGGGTTAATTTCTGGGAAGGAAGTATGCTTAAATAGTGTGCTAGCCCGATTTGTCTCTTTAGAAAGCCCTTCTCTCAAGTTAACTTAATAAGACCAAAGTCATTTGCAGCATGTGCTTTAAGGTACTGACAACGTAGTTTGCAGTTTATATATTCGCAACTTATATTGTAGGGTACTGACAACGTAGTTTGCAACTTATACTGTAGGGTACTGACAACGTAGTTTGCAACTTATACTGTAGGGTACTGACAACGTAGTTTGCAACTTATACTGTAGGGTACTGACAACGTAGTTTGCAACTTATACTGTAGGGTACTGACAACGTAGTTTGCAACTTATACTGTAGGGTACTGACAACGTAGTTTGCAACTTATATTGTAGGGTACTGACAACGTAGTTTGCAACTTATACTGTAGGGTACTGACAACGTAGTTTGCAACTTATATTGTAGGGTACTGACAACGTAGTTTGCAACTTATATTGTAGGGTACTGACAACGTAGTTTGCAGTAATTTTTTAATTATGTTATATCTGTTAAACTATCTTTCATTTACTAATATCTTGTTTTTTGTTATATCTTGTGTCTGACGAGGGGGCCAATGTTGTTCATGATATATGCATCTTCTTATTAATGATTCCGTCCCCCAGATTGTGTGTGATAGGGTTTGGGTTGGGCTAGACATCACTTTGTCCAGTGATGTGTTTGGCGCATAGTAGGTTTATTAAGCCCAACTAGTTTATGATATTGTTTATAAATCATTATGATTTATTGTTTATTTGATTGTTGTTTGTTTATTATGCTATTTTTTCATTCCTTCGT